ATGCATAGTGTGGTTGTCTGCGAGGACACTAACTATGGGGTCTTCTAACTTTTGGACTTTCAATCCTAATCTCAGCTTCTTCATCGCTTTACGACTAATATAACTACGAGTAGCCCCTGAATCTATAAGGGCCCCTACTCTGCTCCTGAAAACTTCTACATCAACTAACACTAGCTGCCCTTTACTATTTTTCTTCATTTTGGCCCAGGCTAGCATCCTCTCCTATAACTCTTCTGCCACGCCTGTGAGGGAAGTGCCTAGAGAGACGCTAACACAAGCGGTCTTTGAACAGCTAACTAGGCACGGGCCTGCAACCTCTGCCGAAAGCTCATGTGGTGTGGGAGTTTCTTGTTTGCGCACGCTCGCTTCCCCACATGGCCTCGCAGTAGGGGCAGTTGCAACCCCTCCCGGTGGCTGCCTTTTCACTCCTGGGCAGCCCATAGCGCCTGTCTTTACTTTAGGACAATATTTAATAATATGGGCGGGGTCACCACAGTAAATGCACTGCCCCTGCTCCATACGCTGCTGCCACACTTTCTGGTCTAGACCCAGGTCTTCCCAAGGCCGGCCTTGTGGCCAGCCTGGGTGCCAACCTCCTCTCCTTCGAGGTGATCCTGCACCTCGTCGCTCCGGGGATCGACTGGGACCTTGACGATTTGGCGGGGGACCTTGACCCCTACCTCCTACTTCACGGTTCCCTTGACTGCCAGCCCCCCGTGCGCCCGGTCCTCGACCTCCCGTGGCCTGGCCCCTTTGGCCCTGGCCTCCTCCTCTACTTTGCGGCCTCCCTCCAGCCGCCACAGCAACATAAGTCCTCCCCTGGCCTACACTACTGTCCTCCTCCTCGAGCCCCCACTCAATCTGACTGTAGGGGACTTCGTCAATACCACCTTCATCTAAAGTAAGGATCAAATGATCCTTGGCCATGACTTGGCCAAAGATGATCCTACGTCCTTATGCCAGAAAGTGGAAACTGGCATGGACTTGACCTCAAACAGGACCACCTCTCTACTCAACGCATCGTACGTGATGTTGGCCTGTTGGGTCTTGTCAAAGATATTCCCTCGCAAGGGCTCTAACATGGCACGATAAAACAACTGGACCAACTGGGTTTCAGTGACCCCATGGTTTGGGACGGCTTCTAAGGATAGCCTTCATGCTCGCGCACTCCTCCACTATCGCGAGTGGATGGTTTGAAGCGTGTCAAAGGCCCTGACGCCCCTCGTGACGTCAGCGAAAATCTCAAGCAGAAGTTGGAGAAAAGTGGAAAGGGGTAAGCCTAGAATACGCAATCATATTGTCCTCACAATCAGCAGCGCGCGCAAGGGACCTGGCGAAGCTGGCCGCTTCATCCTTCAATGCATGGAAGGCTACGAGGACTTGCTCCTCGGGGGCGATATGCTGCAGATATACGTGTATTGATACTAGCCTCCCAGTTATCAAAGCTATCGTCCTTCTTCCCGCTATAAGCATCAGGGAATTTGAGCTTTACAGGCCCCTTGCGGGAACATGACTCGGCCTCTACCGTGGCCACTACTTTGGCGCTTTCAATGGCCCCTGCGCAGAACTTATCTATGCCTTCCTTCAGTCTCTTAACCTCGGTCCCAACGTGGGTCACCACGTCGCGCGCAAACTCTCTAAAGCCCGCCCGGATAGCATACAGGGTCACATCTTGACCCTTATTGGCCTAATGCTCCTCAAGCCAAGCCTCACTCAAAATCTCCAAGTATCCCAAAATCTTATCTAACTTCGCAAGGGTTTCGGCCTGTGCCTGAACCTCCTGCCTGCATGCCTAGACTCTCTCCATCTCTGTAGCCACTCGGTTGGCTTCCTCCCTCCTCCTCTTCTTCTCCCTCATCATGCATAACTTCCACTCCAACTTCTTTTCATCCTCTGTTGTCTGACGTTCCAGGGGTCCTCCATCATCTCCAATACCCTGGCAAATGCTTCTCTCCTCCTGGGGCACATACAACAGTGCCTATTCGTCTTCTCCCAATGATAAATTAGCTACCCACTCACTGATATTTTTCTCCATCCATGCGTCATCTCCCTTCATGCCACTTGTCTCTCCTCTCTCTCCCCCACACTTCCTTTCGAAGGGTTCTTCTTCTTCCTCCTCTGCTGCTGCTTCTTCGGTAGCCTTCCTCTTCTCTTCCTCCTGCTGTAACTCCAACATCTTCTCTTTCTCTAACCTCATCATTTCTTTTTCCAACGTCTTTTTCGCCGCCTGCTCCTCTCCGATTGCTTTTAACTTCGCCTGCTTGAGCTCTTTCTTCTCTTTTTCTGGAGGCCAGCAATCCGGTCCTGTTCGACCTCGGACTGTGGGGCAGTGCTCTTTCCACTACGTGTGTCCACCATGGTGCTAGGTGCACAACCAGATACGGTTCCACTCCTCACCACTTACACTCTACCCCCTGACTGACAGACCTACTGACTCAATCTAAGGACTTGCAGAATTCGGACAGGATCCTGTCAACTAGCGTCTCTAGCCTAGACCTACTCTAAGGCTGTCACTGCAGGACCTGTTGCTGATCAGGAGGCATTTAAGGAGATCCCCCGTAACTCCTCAGGAATTATTTAACATCCCAGACAGGACGACGCGATCAGCAGGTCCTCTCAAGACTTAGACCGCCTGTTGTGCAGCCCACAGCTCGGATTTTGGGCCTACTGCGCCACACCGAGCAGCCCGCCGGTCAGTACCGGTCCTTGGGAGGGTTCGTGTCCTCTGGGACGGTCGAGTCCTCAGACACAATCTTTAGCCCTACTCAGCCCGTGTGGGTTTGGTCAACAAGGCCATATCCTTCATCCACAAAGTTCCTATCACCTGGACAGAAGAGACTCAAAACAGAAAGAAGAGACAGACAGACTTGACTCAGCACATACCACAGGGTGTGTGCACATCCATAGGGTGAGGGGATAGGCTGAAGGCTTGGCGAGATTATACCAGCTCCAGCTTGGTCAAAATTGTGGTCAACAGTCTCCGTCAACGCCTTGGTCAACGCTGCAGTCAACCCCCGGTCAACTCCGGTCAACTCCTCCGGTCAGCTCCGGCTGTGGCAGCCGGCTTCTCCTTCGTCGCCACCCTTCTCCTTCCTTCTCCCTACCTCGCCACCTTCTTCACCCCGGGTATATTCTCTCTCTTTTTCTTTTTTTCTTTTTCTTTTTTGGTTCGTCTATCCCTTCACCTACTCGGCAATGGCTTCCTTCACTCTCCTCGGTCTCTCCCTCTGTCCTCTCTTTCACCCCTTTCGTTTCTCTGTGGTGGAGCTCCGCGGCTATGGCCGCCTCTTCACTTCGTGGGACTGCACGGCACACTTTCTCTCTGTCTCCCCCTCTCTCTCTCTCTCTCGTCTTCTTCGTCATGGTCTTCTCTGCAGGTGCGCCCGGCGGCCGGGTCCGCCATGGCGGACTTCCTCTCCGATGGCGACCTCCACTAGGGCACAAACTCTACCTGCGGCACACGACGGCGCACATGGAATAGCGGGTACCAGCTCCGATACCAATGCAATCAGACTCGCTATCTTTCACACTTCACATGTATGCAAACAGCTGCGCAGCAAACTGGCGACAAGCGCCCACTTCAAAACTTATATGGTGGCCGAGAACACAGTTCAGATACAAGTTCACTTCAATGGCTATGGCAACACAGCGCCCACACAACTCTCTGTCCGCACACACAGGATCACCCTGGCTATCCCACACACGTTACTCTGTACACACATACACACACACACACACTCCACGTTATCTACAGCTATGGCAGCTATGGGCGCTGCTACCCTATCGCTATGGCTAAGCTCCTCTCTGCCCCTTGATTTATACTTCTGTGGCTCGTTGGTCTGGCCCTTTCCCTTGCCCATGGTGCACACAGTCCCATGCGGTACTTGCTTGACTGGGCTAGGACTGACTGGGACCGGTACTGCTGACTGCATGGGTTTGCACTGCCAACTCGATGCAGTCGCACTGCCGACGTACTGCAGTTGAGCTCACCACTTCTGCCGATCGAACCCCTGCTACCTACGGACCCTAGGACAGTCTACCAACTGTTACAAATACACAGGTCACGGGTTCAACTCTCGGGGTCGCCACAGATACTGTACACAGGTAAGGTGATGACTAGGGATCGAGCCCTGGGATCTGCACTCGCTACTGCTGACAGGTGAAAACTGTTTCATCAGTACTCATCCCATCACAGCATTCCTTTTCAGTACTGCCCTTGATTGACCCACCAATCTAAGGCCCCACACTACATGCTGATCGTTTTCGTGACTGACCAACACGTAACTCAGGCTGTCCGGTAACACATTTTCGATGCTCTGGATTGCATGCTGATCGACCTGGGAGCGATCTGATGCGGGTCTACAGATTGTAACGTCTCCTGCCCTCATAATGGCATGTGCTTAAGCAACCACATTCATGGTACACACACAAACCCTGTTTGCTTCATTCCTGTACACTTCCAGGCAGATGGATGTGCACAGGCAACCCAGGTGCCAATATCTGCTTCATTCATGTGACGACCACTGAGAGTTAGGAAATGATGCAAGCATTGATGTGTTCAGAACACGGGGAAGGGAGGGCAAGAGAGAGAGAGAGAGAGAGACCCAACCTCTTTGCTTTCCCTGAAAGGGATCTAAGCATCTGGTCTCCCTCTGCTGATTATAATTATTTAGATGCAGTAAGTGTAGGACATTTTTCCAGCATGTTGCAAAAGAGAGAGAGAGAGAGAGAGAGAGACCCCTAACCTCTTTCTTTCCCCAAAAGGGATCTACTGGTTATGATTATTTAAATGCAGAAAGTGCAGGAGATGCTTCACGTAAGCAGCCGACTCCTTGTCCAAGTACCCATGACAAAAGATCACTGTTGAACATAAACATGAACGACTATGTGGACTATATGAGCAAGTACTGTGTTAGAGCCGCCCTCCCCTGGACCATCAGTGGCTTTGCACATAGCTCTACGATTACAGCATCTCCCAGGTTCTGATGTGCAAAACTCACTGCGCAGTTTCTGTCTTCATAGCACAGAAAGCCTTCACAGTCTGCCTTTCTTCTCCCCTCACTGCAGCTTCAAACTCGCTGGACCTCTTCACCAAATCCTCCTCGGTCACTACCTTCCTGAGCTTGACCTGCGCACAAAATCCCACATAAGGCAAACATGCTTTTTAACAGTGAACTTTAAGGAGCCTTTGCCAAAACCTTCCCACTCACACTTTTATCTCTTTCCCATTGGTCACACACATTGCCGTACTGCCTGTGCTAGAAACTGTGATGTATCCCTACCCTCATAATGTTAAGCGACCACAATTTCGGATAGGTCAGCGGCTGCGCCAGTATACACAGAGGACATGGGGCCAGATTGCAGTGGCACAGTAGCTGCCTGAGGCAACAACAAAAACCTGCAGCCCCTAGACTGAAGACAATTGTGGCAGTTGACATCAGCATGTACAGTGCGTTGACATTTGTCTTTATTATACAAAAGCAGATGACCCATTGCAGCTTCGACCGCAAAAACAGAAAACGAAAAAAGCAGAAAAGAAAGAAAAAGCATGGCACTGCCCTATCATATGCCGCTTCTTTCACAATAAGAAAAAGAAGGGCCTGAGAGCAGACGAAAACTCGCGTGCAAGAAAATAGGAGGGAATACCACCAAGCCTTTTTTTTACCTTTATCTTTGAGTGTTTTGTTTAGGGAGCCCTTACCTTTGCAGCGTCGTTTTTGTTTTGCCTGTGCAAGAACTCTGGAAATTGAAGAAAATCCTGTCTGTTGTCCCGTTGATGTTTTATCTAAAGATTCAGATTCAGACTTTGTTTGCTGTGTTCTCTGGATATGGTTGATCCTGTCCGTTGTCCCGTTGATGCTTTTGCTAAAGATTCCGATTCAGACTTTGTTTGCTGTGTTCTCTGGATATGTTTGTGATCAACCGATCTTGCACGTATGCCCCGTGCTTGTTGAGTTTTGACGTTATTTCTGTAAGTGCATGTGTGTGTGGGTGAGTCCCAGTTTGGTGGGCTCGGATGATGTCATTGACAATTGGCTTGGGGAAGTTGCTGGAAATCGCATCCAACTATAGGAGTGACACTGACGTTAAGCAGGTTTTGCATTGCATGCGTGAAGCAATCAGCATTCAATCTGCTTGGCAGTTGCTCTTCAGGTGGGGGACTTCTCGGGATTAGCATTGACATGAGAGGCCATAATGCCGGGTGTGCATGTCCAAACATTTCCTGGAAGGCAAAAGGCAAAAACGAAACGATGTAGCACGTATCAGA